CTGGAGACAATTATTCAACAAGTAGTATTACTCAAAATCCTAGATTTCAATCTAAACAGGACTCCCATAAAATTTCACTAGGAAAATAATGGGATAAAAAGAGTGGAAACATACAGGAGGAAGGAACTGGTGTGTTACTCAGCTTTCTCCTCTGCGGGACAAAATATCTGATGCCTGCAACTTCAAGAAAGAGTGTTTTCATATGGATGACATTTGGGGGGATTCCATCCATGATCAATGGGCTCCAAGTACAAACAGCATGGTGGAAAGGCATACCACAAAAAGTCATTTAACCTACTGCACTCAGGATGTAAAAGCCAGGAGCCAGGGACAAGATTAAACGCTTCCGGATTGCCTCTGCTCACCCAACTCTTTCAAACAGGCTCCATCTCCTAAGAGGCCATTCAGCTATGAATATACCAATGGATCAAATCACTGTTGAGTGTAATAACTGCATAATCTAATCATCTCCCCAAATTCCCCACTTCTGAAAACACCAGACTTTTGGAGGACATTTAAATCTAAACCATAACATTTCAACCCCAGACCCTACAAGGCTCATATCCTCATTATACAAAAAGGATTTAGTGCATTTCTAAGAGTCACCAAACTCCTAACAGTTCAATATTGGTTTACATCCAAATCTCAAATCTGCTCTGCTACTCCAAGCAAACTCTTACCTCTAAGCCCAAGGCAAGAATGAAAAGCAGAAACAAACATTAAATGTTGTGTAATGTGCATGCCAGTGGAGTCCTTATTCACCACAGAAACACCCTCAGCCTGGCCTTTATTGTCTACATTTCTGTCACCACGCTGGTCTTCAAGGGTCCCACCAGAATTGTCCATCAAGTTCCATTTACAGTATCATAAGGCTTCTCTAGCCAACATCTCACAGGCTTTCCAAACCCTCTGGCAAACTTAATTCCAAAGGTTTTTAACCATTTGTTTAGACACAGTCCCACCAAGGATCGCACTATTCTGTGCCAATTTTCTATATGGTTCATTTTTTCCATTGTTGAGACAAATGCCTGATATCCACATCAAAGAGGAGAGGTGTGATTTTGCTCACCTTTTGAGGGATTCATTCCTTGGTCAACTGGCTCCACAACAGAAAGTGCGTGGTGAAAGAATAGAGCAGAGCAAAGTTGCTCATGCTGTGCAAGCCAGGAAGCAGAACAGGAAGGAACCAGGGACAAAAATACACCTTTCTGGGTCATGTCCCCGAGACTTGACTCTTCAAACCAGTCCCATCTTCTGAAAGTATATTCAGTTATCAACTCATTGATGCATTAATCTAGAGGTGGATACAGAGACCCCGAGATCCAATCAGCCTCCAAATCATTATACCTGAAAACACCGTGGGAATTCCTTTCAGATTAAAACATTATAAGTAGGAGGGGAAGCAAACTATATTCCTACTAAAACTTCAAAAGATGTGTTCAAAACTGAAAAGCATTAAATTCTATCAATATATGGAGACAAATAATCAGCACATACAAATAGTCTTCTCTGGAAGATATTTTGCTTTACTTTGGTCATATACAGGTTTTCCTACTGAATGCCTTAAAGTACACAGACACCTAAAGTTGATCAGAAAAATAAACTACAGCAAAATGAAACTTGCACTATAGGCATTTAATTTATAATCAGCTTTATTGTATTCACTATTATATTCCTTTGATGGAGCATCTCTTAGGGTTTTTTCTTTGAAAATAATTTAAATCTTCATTTTACTCCTTATTCTGACTTTTCATATTTCAGTTCAGTCTACCTAATGGACTGTATCCAGAAAAGATAAAGACTGGAAACCTTAATACTCTGCTTTTAAGGAAAGTGTTTTCATTTTTCCTGTACTAAACATAGTAAAAATATTTCTGACAGTGTTTCACTAATGATTTTTGTTACAGCTGATTTTAAATAGTATCAAAGTGTTTGGGGCATTAAAATTTAATGATGCACCATACTGCTTTCTGACTTAACCTCCTAAGATGAGGAATTACCATATTTTATACACTAACATTAAAGCATCATAAAACTCTCAGGATTATAGACATAGGACAAAATGTGACTGATTCAGATACATTACTAAATTTTGTTATTAAATTTCTTGCTTATAATTAAAGATATTTATACTGTTTGGATGTTATTTTGATATCAAAGTCATGGCACACCTAAGATTACTAAAGCAAATGAAAACATATTTCATTTTAATGCCATGAAATTGTTAAATAGCAATAAAAATATTCACTTAAATATTCAAACTATCTGAAGTAGAAAATGTAATTTAATTTCAGGTTGAGAATATGTCTTTATCCATGAATAATGGAGGATAAGTGTGAAATCCCTCCCAGAATTCATTTATTCTCTCGTATTTGAGCCAACCCTCTCCTAGTCCTCCATCTAAAAGATTGTAGAGCTACTAAATACATTTATTAGCATCATCCTGGAGATATCTGGCATTTCCTCACTAGTTACAAATCTTCACAAAGCTGTACTACAGTGCTCATCAGTAATACTTAAATAGACCAGATGCTAAACTCAAAGCCCTGTATGCAAAGCTGTGAGACTGACAATTTTATGACTCTCACTCAGATAAAGTTACATATTATAAGCACGTACATTATTATGTGAAGAAGTATAATAAATATAGACCAGCAAAATGTTCAGGTGCTAGAAAGAAATGGGTCAGAATGGTTGAAACTGACAAATTTAGTCTGAAAAATCTTTTTTGGCAGGGACAAGTCTGGCATAGACAGTAATATTAAGGTAGAATAGATGCCACTTTGAAAGGCTGAGTTAGAAATTTCGATATAAATAAAAAAAGGTTTGATAAGAGCATAACACATCCAATCTTTATTTGTGGAATAATGGAGGTTAAAATACAAGAAGCTTATATTAAGCTTCTACAAATGTTTGTAGGATTGAACTGTAACTCTTAATCTTTTCTATCTCCACAAACTAAAGAATAAATTGTTTACCCTGGCTAAGATAAATTTAAAATCAAAATAATTAAGCAGTATATATTGAGCCCTGAATACATAATGCATTATTTAAGTGATAAATAGAGGTCTAACCTCCAACCTTCATGAGAAGATGGGTAGCACAGGGAAAATTTATTTTCAAGCCACGGTCTCTAAGCAAGCATCCAGGAAGCAGGTTATGGAGATGGGGTATAGCTGTGACTTTTGAGACAGGGAAAGGGGTATGATTAAACACACCAGTTCTCTGCTTTAAATGTTGATAAATAAGCTTTGTCCAGGAACTATGAAAGACTCATGTGAGTAGCTACAGCAAATGGACTTTCAGGGAGAAAGCCCCGAACACCTCTGTCTTTGCTTTCCGTTGATTGACAGCCTCTGCTGTCATTCACACTGCTCAGACTGCCTCCTCAAGACTGTGGTCAAAAGCTGGGTTGGGAGCCTTGGGATACATTTCCCTGGTGGTTTTAACAAACGAGCAATATCTTAGGATCCAGGAAGTGTACGAAGCGATTCCCATTGATTCTTGAATTCTATCACTTCTCTGTGAATTATGTCAAATCTTACTGCTAAGGACTACAGATTTTTAGGGAAACTTTGATGCAGATCTATATGACCATTATAGTTTAATGTCTCAATCCTTCTACTTTTTCAACTAAACACCGAATTTCCAAAATCGAACAGGAGAGTTTAAATTTGCCAGAAATCCTGTAAGTCTCTCCCCTTCCTATGGACCAGTCACTAAGCCTGACATATCAGCGAATGGTTGTGATTTTTCACTTTTGAGCATTTAATTTTCTTCTTTGGTTAAATCTAAATAAATACTTCTTGATTAGAAGGGACAGCTGGATATTTGAACAGGTGGTTGCAGAAGATTATGGAGTGGCTTCTCAGGAAAACATTCCTAACTAGATACACAGCCATCTGTCCCACATTGTTTAAAAATTGTTGTGTGTAGGAAAACAGAAGAAACGACAGATCTTAATGGTCCATTTATAAAATTTTCATACAGAACCCTAGGTCAGGTAAGAAGAGGGGATTGATAACTACAGCCATGCACCTCTTCACAAATGAATCATATTAAACCAGAATTTGCCAAAGTGAGCCCCAAGGGCTCTAAAATTAGGACTTTAATGAGTAGTAACCGATGAAAACAGAACTCTGAAAAATGCAATTGAGAAATTGTGAGATAAGCAATGTTGAAGACATTTGATTTTATTTTGTTTAGTCCTCTTTTTCATGCTAGAAATATTTAGGACCTTTAAGATGTTACTATGCAATGTGATTTGCCAAATAAGAAGTAGACTGTGACCTGTGACGAACATTATGACAATACAGAAATCTGCACAGGGTAGTCAACATTCTAACCAGAATTAAGGACAAGAAGTACATTTTTCATACCCTCCGTCTTGTCATGATTCAGAGTTGAGAAAAATAGGACACTGACAATCACGGCAGTGACCCAGGGCGTCCCCACCCTTAAGAGGCAGAGAGTGGCTTTCTGGGTCCTACTTCTCCGTGATCCATCCTATCCTACATTGAGTAAGGCAGGAAAACCCCAGTAGAAATTACTAGAAAGGCCAACAGTGAGGCCAGGTGTTGGGAGCCGCGGCCGACACCGGTCGCCTTACTTGGCGGACGTAGGGCCTGTGGGTGGGAGCGGAGCCTGAGCTAGATTGCCCCTCCCATCGAGTGAGCCAAGTTGGCGCCTGCTTCCTGCCCCCTGATTGCCCTGGCGACTTAAACAACCTGCTCTGTAAGATAGTCTGCCTAGCAACAGCTGATGTTAGCCAGTCAGCCCGCATCGCGCGCTTTGAACTGATTGGCTACTGTTGCCCTATAAAAGTGAATGCCTCTCCCGCCACGAGGAAGAAGCACAGAGAGAGATAGAGAAAGTCCACCGGCGAGAAAGGGCTGGTGACAGAGCGGAGGCCTCGCGGGGCCCACGCGGAGACAAATAAAGGCAAGATTGCACACCGTCAAAATCTGTCGCGTGTTCTTCCTGCAGGCCGGGAGCGACACCGACATTTGGTGGCCCGTACGGGGACTGATCAACCCCGAGACACGGCGGTGGTGTGCAACGCTCCAGCGTGGTGCTGCCGGACAGGTGAGTGGGGGATAAGCCTGGGCTCTGGGTGGCGCGCACCTACAGGGCTTTTAGACTCCCCTCAGGCTCATGCGTAGGTGACGGGTTCTCTAAGTCACACGCGGTGAGTTACAGCCCTTAGAGGTTAGAGATGGGTAATTTACCGAGCGCGGAGGCGCGGCCCTTGGTAAAGGCCCTTAGAAAGCTTTTAAAAGCTAGAGACCTCAGGGTAGGTCAAAAAACACTGGAACTATTCATAGCAGAGATAGATAGGGTGGCTCCCTGGTTTTTACCCACGGGGCATTTAAACCTGCCGTCATGGGAGAAGTTAGGCGGGGACCTCGCCTCGGCGGAATTGGAAGGGGATATTTCGCCGGCTATTCGCCCCCTGTGGGAAATGATACATGCGTGCCTTGAAGGGGAGGGGAAGGGGTTCCCGTCGGCAGTTAGAGACGCGGAAATCATAGACGCACGCAAGGCCTTTGAGCAGGCAAAGTCGGAATGCTCTCGGGAGGGATCTGTCCAGGGGGAAAAAATCCAGGGAAAGATAGAGGACACCCAAGCTCTAGAGTCCTCCGACTTAGATAGCAAGGAGGAACCAGAAGGTGGGGCAGGAAGCCGGGAGGCCCGGAACCCCTATGCCGAGTTGCGCCGCGAATTGTGTGCGTGTGCCGCCCGAGAAAAGCAGAGAGAGGAGAAAGGGCCCCCGAGCGCTCTCTGGCGGGGAGGAGATAGAGAGCCATCCGCTCCGCCCTGGAGCTCTTTTCCAGAAGCGGCTCCCCGCCGAGAGGCCGCTACAGGGAACCCTCCCTTCTCTCAGCCGGCACAGGAAGTGATGCCCCGTTCCACTCTGTCGCGACCACCGTCCTATGACGTCGCGCCGCGGGGCAGACGGTATTTTCATGGGCAGTTATGGAAGGGTGAACGATGGTTCGGAGGGGACCCACCGATGCAAGGACTAGATTACGGTCCTTATGGAGTATACCCTGTGCAAATGGCCCCAGGCAAAGGGCGCAATGTTTGGGAACCGTTTGAAATAAAGCAGATCAGAGAATTAAAAAGCGCTGTCACGACCTTCGGGCCCACAGCTCCTTATACCATAGCTATGCTAGAGAATCTTGCCTCTCAGCCTCTTACACCGGGTGACTGGATGCAGCTGGCCAAGGCGTGCCTTCCTTCGGGTAGTTATCTTGATTGGCGAGCCTGGTATGCCGAGTTTGCCATCGAGCAAGCAGAAAAGAATGTTAACAGGGGGCATGCAAGGTGGAACGAAGATATGCTCCAGGGCTCAGGTCAATATAGGGATGACCAAACTCAGTTCCCCAATGAGGTGTATGACCAAATCTCTAATATTGGGCTCCGCGCATGGAAACAGGTGAACGGTGCGGGGGCGGCCTCATTATGCCTTTCAAAGATAGTACAGGGTGCCACAGAGCCATTTGTTGATTTCGTGGCTAGGATGCAGGACGCGGCTGATAAAGTTTTTTCAGACCAAGAAGTGGCAAAGCCCCTGATCAAACAACTCATTTTTGAACAATGCACAACGGAGTGCAAAGCGGCTCTTGCCCCGCATAAAAACAAGGATCTCAATGCTTGGATTAGGATTTGTAGGGAGATTGGAGGGCAGATGACTGCAGCAAAGCTTGCGGCGGCCTTTGTAGCCGCGACAGCACAAGCTAAGGGTGCTTCCGGACCTAAGCGAGATCGTAAGCCCAAAGGATGTTTTGGCTGCGGGGAACCAGGGCATATTAGGAGAGACTGTCCGCACAGTGTTAATACACGGGAAGGGCCAATAGGCGTGTGCGAACGATGCAGGAAGGGAACACACAAAGCGAAAGATTGCAGATCAGTTTTTGATGCCCAGGGAAACCGCATTAGTGGCAGGGAAATTCAGGAGCCAAAAAACGGCCAGAGGGGGCCCTCCTTACGGACGGGCCCCCGCCCCCTAGACAGGACAACACAAAGTGGCAGCCCTCCACAAGGGCTACCCCTGGGTCAGCAGGCGTGGACCTCTGTGTCGCCTCTGGACTCCTATTAACGCCCGATATGGGCGTTCAGGTGGTCGGGACCACCTTCAAGGGACCGTTACCTGAAAAGTCAGTTGGTTTAGTGATTGGACGGTCCTCCACAGCCCTCCGGGGCCTTACCATGCTCCCTGGGGTTATAGACTCAGACTACACAGGAAACATTAAGATTATGGTCCAATCTCATGTAGGGACCATGGTGATTAATGAGGGGGATAAGATAGCACAACTTTTATTGCTCCCCAGTCTCCATGAGAGATTCTAGTCTAGACAACGGGTTAGAGGGGATCAGGGTTTTGGCTCCTCTGGAGAAATTTTTGAAGGACTTCATATGACTCTTGATAAAAGACCCATGCTCTCGCTCAGGGTTAATGGTAGAAATATAACAGGACTCCTGGATACAGGGGCAGACCGCTCCATTGTCTCCAAGAGGGACTGGCCTTCTAGCTGGCCCACCAATACAGCTGACAACACACTCCAAGGGTTGGGGATGGTGGCTGCCCCCCAGGTTAGTGCCGTGACCCTGCCTTGGTGTGATGAGGAGGGTCACCAAGGACATTTTCAACCTTTTGTTCTACAGCTGCCGGTATCTTTGTGGGGAAGAGACATCCTCACTCAGATGGATGTCACTCTCACATCCACCTGCTCTCCTCAAGCCAAGGGTATACTTAAAAATCAGGGATATGTTCCCGGCAAGGGCCTGGGCTCTGCCCTGCAGGGCCGGACATCTCCCGTACCTGTAGAGAAAAGGGAAGGTAGACACGGGCTGGGTTTTTCCTAGGGGCCGCTGAGGAAGTTCTTCTGCCTACTCCAATTAAGATCACTTGGAAGTCCCTGAGTCCAGTTTGGGTACCTCAGTGGCCCCTACCCAAGGAGAAGCTTTTAGCGTTAACCGAGATAGTCAAAACCCAGCTTCAGGCAGGGCACATAAAGCCATCAACCTCCCCTTGGAATACCCCTGTTTTTGTTATTAGAAAGAAATCAGGCAAGTGGAGGCTGCTCCATGATTTAAGGGCGGTCAACGCGCAGATGCAGCCCCTGGGGGCGGTCCAGAGGGGGCTGCCAGCTCTCTCAGCCATCCCTCAGTCTTGGCCAGTTTATGTTATAGATCTTAGAGACTGTTTCTTCTCAATCCCCCTGCATCCAGAGGACACCCATAGGTTCGCCTTTACCTTACCCACCATTAACCAAGAAAGCCCTGATCTCAGATACGAGTGGATAACGCTGCCCCAAGGTATGGCCAACAGTCCCACTATGTGTCAGATTTACCTTGATTCCCTACTGGCCCCCCTACGGAAATCCTTTCCCAAGATAAGATGTGTACATTACATGGACGACCTTTTGCTCAGCGGCAGGGACCCAGACATGCTGAATAATATGCTCGGCCAGTTGGTCGAGGCCCTGAGAAAGGCTAATCTACATATTGCCCCTGACAAGATTCAAGGAGGAGACATAGTGACTTACTTGGGTACCAAAGTCTCCCCTACATCGATTTCTCCACAGAAGGTAACTATCAGAACAGATAATCTTACAACCCTAAATGACATGCAAAAGTTACTGGGAGATATAAATTGGATCAGACCTTACTTGCACATCCCTAATTCGGACTTAAAGCCCCTGTTTGATCTCCTAAGAGGGGATCCGGATATTGCCTCCCCTAGAAAGTTCACCCCAGAGGCCAGAGTTGCTCTAAAAAAGATAGAAGAGGCCCTAAGCAAAGCTACATTACAGAGAATTGACCCAGAACAGCCTTTTGAGGTCTGCTTGTTGCAGACCAGTTCCCAGCCCACGGCAGTGATTTGGCAGAAAGGACCACTTCTGTGGGTGCACCCTAAAGTTTCACCTGCCAAGATTATTGAACATTACCCGGAAGCAGTTGCTTCTCTGGCTCTGGAGGCACATAGTAGAGCCATCCAGCATTTTGGCTCCACGCCTCACGCTATTCGGGTGCCTTATACCGCTTCTCAAATAAAAATTCTGACTGCTTGCATAGATACTTGGGCCATCCTGAGATGCGTATTTCTTGGGGAGATAGACAATCAGTTCCCTAAGGACCCTATACTACAGTTTATTACTCAACATCCGGTGATATTTCCAAAAATCACCGCCCCTGCACCCCTTACTCCTGCAACAACAGTCTATACTGATGGGTCAAAAACCGGGATAGGGGCCTATGTGGTCTCAGGCATGCCTCCAGTTAACATACAGTTTGAACCAGATCAACCACAGGTGGAGGAGTTACAAATTGTACAAACCGTCCTCGAGAAGTTCCCAGGGGCCCTTAATATTGTTTCTGATTCAAAATATGTTGTCAATGCCATGCAGGTCCTTGAGACTGCAGGCCCAATTAAACCAACCTCCAAAGTAACTAACTTGTTTTTGTCTATCCAGACATTGCTCATAAATAGACACAACAAAATATACATCACTCACATAAGAGCACATACACACCTACCAGGGCCCATGGTACAGGGCAATGCGGCTGCTGACGCGGCCACTCGCCCATTATGGATTTTCAATATGTTATCTCCAATAGAGCAAGCCCGTCAGTTCCATGACAAATTCCATGTCAATGCCAGGACGCTAGCCAACCAGTACCGCATCTCTAGGGCTGACGCACGGGACATCGTGCGACTGTGCGGCTCATGCGCCACACACACGCCTGCCATATCAATGGGGGTTAACCCCAGAGGGTTGATCCCTGGCGATACTTGGCAAATGGATGTCACACACATAACAGAATTTGGATCTCTTAAGTATGTCCATGTCTCCACGGACACCTGTTCTCATATTATATTCGCAACTGCAGAGACAGGTGAAAAGGTATCTAATGTGATCAATCACTGCTTAGCGGCTTGGGCCGCGTGGGGCAAGCCCAAAATATTAAAGACAGATAACGGACCAGCCTATACAGGAAAAGCCTTCAATGAGTTCTGTAAGACTATGGAAGTACACTTAAAACATGGGATCCCATATAATCCTCAAGGCCAAGGAATTATTGAAAGAGCTCACAAAAGCCTCAAAGAAATCTTATATAAACAAAAAGGGGGAGTAGGCCAGGGCCTGCCCCCAAAGGCACGGCTATCCATGGCACTATTCACATACAATTTTTTAAACCTGAACAATAACAACCACCCCCCGGCTATGGAGCATTGTAATCCATCTCCTAGCAATAAGGGATGGGTAAAATGGAAAGATGTCCTGACGGGACAATGGATGGGCCCGGATCCGGTAGTCAGCTGGAACCGAGGTGCGGTTTGTGTTTTCCCGCAGGAACCGGGACGAGAACCATTGTGGGTCCCAGAAAGACTGACGCGTGCGACAAGCCCTTCGACTGAAGACTAATCCTGTCCTGCCGGAGACCAGCAGCAGGCCTGACAGCCAGATGAACCCGAAAAAGGCTGCTTTTTTCATTGGGGGCGTTGTCCTAGCACTCCTCAGGATAAGTATGGTACATGCGGGGCTGGGGGGCCCCGCTTCTGGAATAGATCTTCGCACGAGCCTTCTTGGCAGTCCGTGCGATTGCGGAGGTGGCACGGTAAGCAGTATACCACCTAGCGCCAAAAAAGGACCAGGGACCGATTGTGGGGATAAAACAGCATTCTCAGTTGTGTACCCCTCCACTGCAGGAGGATTTAGTCAACCATCCTATCAGTGCATACTTAAGCCTAAGGTGAGTCCCTCAGGGCCTGGTGATCTCGCCACATGTCCCTGCACTAAGTTTGAGGAATCCATGCATGTTACATGCTATACAGAGACAAAACAATGCAAACTTAAGAGTACAACCTATTGGATGGCAACGCTAACTACAACTAAAAGCCCTGTTGCCCCTAACCATATTCCCGCTGCTGTAGGCGGTTCTCCATTCATGCAGTCAGGTTGTAATGGAGAGGTTGGAGAAACGGTCTGTTGGTCTATGACCGCTCCCGTTCACATCTCTGACGGTGGAGGGGTCCAAGACCAGTACCGGCAGGAACAGGTCATCGAGCGATGGGAACAACTAAATCCGTTCCCTGAAGTCAATTACCATCCACTCCTACGCCCAAAATCCCGAGGCATTAACCTTGACCCCGCTACTGAATCCATATTAGAGGCTACCCACAAAGCACTCAATCTTACTGACCCAGGGCTGGCCTCCGATTGTTGGCTGTGTATGATGATGGGAGAATCATGGCCGCTGGCCATGCCGTTTAGAGACTATGAAAGTGAACCTTACAATTATAGCACACCCTATAATTGCTCACATGGGCCTCCATTTCGGGTCCAGTTTATGGGACAGTTTAATGCATCCTGTTTCCAAAAGTACCCACAAAATAATAGTTATGATATTGTTGTTGGAGCGCTGGCAGTCGCCTCGTGTGAGTCCATAACCAATGTAAGTAGTAGCTCGCCGCTATGTGCCCCCTTTGGCAAAGTATTTGCTTGCGGCAATGGTCATGCTTATACCTACCTGCCCAGTAATTGGACCGGCCTATGTGGCCTAGCTTACTTGTTGCCTGACATTGGTATTGTCCCTGGGGACCAACCCATGCCCATCCCAGCTGTGGACACCTTTATAAAAAGACACAAGAGAGATGTACTGATTTTACCTCTCTTGGCTGGTCTGGGGATAACTGCAGCCCTGGCCGCCGGGACTGTGGGCCTAGGAGTTTCATTAACCAAATATACTCAGTTATCCAAGCAATTGATAGAAGACATGTCTATAGTTGAGAAAACCCTTCAGGAGATACAAGATCAAATTGATTCCCTTGCAGAGGTTGTTCTGCAGAATAGAAGGGGCCTAGATCTACTCACTGTAGAGAGGGGAGGTATCTGTATTGCCTTACAGGAAAGATGCTGCTTTTATGCCAACAAGTCCGGAATCGTTCGAGACCGATTAAAGAAACTGCAAGAAGACCTAGAAAAGAGAAGAAAAGAACTACAAGACAATCCCTTTTGGGGAGCCTGGAATGGCTTGCTCCCCTATATTTTACCATTGTTAGGTCCCCTGTGCTCCTTGCTTCTGCTCTTACTTATAGGACCATGCTTGCTCCGATGGGTCACATCATTTATTAATGGGCGCCTTGCGGCGGCCCGGCGTCAAGTATGCCTGGTTGCCCATGCGGCCCTGGCAGCAGCCCGTGATGGGCACGATGACCCCCAGGCTTACGCATGGCTCGCTCGACTGGCCTACAACTGGGTCTAGATGTGGCGGGTCTTCCGCACTCCTTCCCTATTGACACTACACAGCAGGGTAGGTGAGTCAATGACGGGTAAGAGCGTGCCTCCCCAGCACGACTCGACCTAAGCCAGGCCCTACCCCATACTGCACGAAAGCTGCTGGATTACTAGAATCTGCCCAGATCTAGATGTCTCTCCGAGGGGATCACACGGAGGGGCATGAGTGCATGCCTATGTGCATCCAGGTTCCGTCCAGTTCACTCCTGGCCCTGGAAAAAGGACGAGGGTCTCAAGGCCTTGGTGGACCCGGGGACGGCCGACCAGGGTCCAAGCCAAGGGCCTACGGTGGGCCTCAACACAGGGCATAAGCCTCTGCACTCGATCCAGGGCGGGCTGCGATGCATACATTCATTCAAAGTAAATAAAATAGGGGGAGATGTTGGGAGCCGCGGCTCACACCGGTCGCCTTACTTGGCGGACGTAGGGCCTGTGGGTGGGAGCGGAGCCTGAGCTAGATTGCCCCTCCCATCGAGTGAGCCAAGTTGGCGCCTGCTTCCTGCCCCCTGATTGCCCTGGCGACTTAAACAACCTGCTCTGTAAGATAGTCTGCCTAGCAACAGCTGATGTTAGCCAGTCAGCCCGCATCGCGCGCTTTGAACTGATTGGCTACTGTTGCCCTATAAAAGTGAATGCCTCTCCCGCCACGAGGAAGAAGCACAGAGAGAGATAGAGAAAGTCCACCGGCGAGAAAGGGCTGGTGACAGAGCGGAGGCCTCGCGGGGCCCACGCGGAGACAAATAAAGGCAAGATTGCACACCGTCAAAATCTGTCGCGTGTTCTTCCTGCAGGCCGGGAGCGACACCGACAGCCAGGTCTCACAAAGGGAGAGCAGCGTGTGTCAATGCACAGAATCATGGGTTAATGACACATACACTGTGCAGAATCAGACAGTGCTTGAGGCATTGCTGGAGGCAGACAGTGCACTGCGGGTGAACCCCCAAAGCAGATGAGGAGGGGCAAGCTTCATGTAGGTTAACTGAAAAAAACACGGTGACTGGAAATAAGTTTACACGGGGCATTGCAAAGCAAAGCTAACGTTTACATGTCGGTTAGGTGACAAAAGCCACAGATTCGTGTTGCTGTGGAAGGTTCATTACAGATCCACTTTTCTTGTTAGAAAATAGTTACAACAGTATTTTTCAGAGTTAAGTAGCAGAGTTAGATGAACCACTCTAGGCCAGTAAGACAACAGAGCTGGTGCTGGTGGCATACTCCTATAATCCCAGCACTCTGGAAGGCTGAGGCGGGAAGCTTCATGTCTGCCTGGGTGAGTTTGCAAGGCTTTGTCCCAAAATAAGAAACAAAAAAGGGAGGGAGATGTAGCTTCGTGGAAAATTCCTGGGTTCAAACCATAGTACCACACACATAAAAGGAGACTCTCGCTTCTCGGAATTACTTAATTTTAAATTAATCCCATCATCCTAAATCCAACACTATTTGCACTTTCAATTTTCAAATATTTGGTCTTCTGTTTTCAATTTTGTGGTCAAAATTTGTTTTAAGTGTATCTATTATAAATTCAATATAGCCTCTGTTCAATTATTTCATATTTGAGGGAAATTGTGAAAATAACATTATCTGTGTATTTTAATAGCAGTTTTTAATAATATTTAGCATCTAAAATAATTGCTGATAACTTGTAATCGTCCTTCTTATTCTAGCTATCCCATGCTTTTTTTCTTTTCATAAGCTTTGTAGTGGAAAACATTTTGGCATTGTGGCCTGGTATATATGATTCATTGCAGTCCTAATTTATTAAACAGTGCTATCAAAGGCTGAAGACTAATGAGTAGGAATAAACCTGAGGGACGCCCTGCAATAGTGGGCTTCATACATCATCTTGATAACCCACTAGGATGCACATGAGTGGAATTCTTATCAATTGATCAAGTAGCGCGAGACTCGAAAGGCTATCAATAAGTAGATGTTTCGCACTCAAAAAAGTTTCGATAAAAGACTGGCATTTTAGACTAAATTCGGTAAGCTGCAATTTCATTATTATTTTTAAGTATTCTCCTTTGATTTCATTAACCATACATTTTATCTCTGTTGCTGAAAATGTAGCTTGCCAGCCTATATAAAAAAGATTGAAGAGATACTGCAGAGATTAAGCTAGATTTGAATCAACAGTGGATGTCACAGTTAATATACTCAGCGGAATCTAAGGCTGCTGCCAAATGGAAATTACGTGTGAGAAGAATATCAATCTCCTTTCTTTCTCTGCTAGTTAGACCGTGATGGGACGTCTCTGTTCAGTCAAGTGTTCAGCCCATTTTAAAAGAGTCTTTAACAAACTAAAATTGGATTGCAATGGTGAAGATTCAGTATCACGAAGAGAGCCAGAGATTTATCAGCAACCCTGGGTCTATATATGGATGAGACAATTGTTTAACCATGCTACGATACAGCAAATTGTTTTCAATCAACAAACTTTCACTGGAGGCCTAAGATGGACTAGCTTTCAGGATGATATGGAACCAATGAACCGGCTCTTTCCTAATCATGAACATGGAAATAATCGTGACATCATGTACAGTCAATAAGTATCACTAGATACACTCACATCCACGCTTGTGCGATTGATTGAAAAATAAAACTAAAACACTATTTTACTTGAATTCTCTGGTGTTGAATTTCTGACAGGTGAGAACAACATTGCCATGCGTGTTTCTACGCTTTTCACAGCAGCTGATTATTTCTCAAGCTACTTTATATGATCATGTGCCCTGTGAGAATATGTATTTTCATTCAATTAATGAAGATGCACTATCTACCTAATGAATCAATTAAATATTAAGCGGTAAAATTATATCAGATATATTTGTGCTTTGCAGCATGACAAACAAAATACCTAAACATTTTGCCTGCTTACCCCTCCACCCAAGCAAGTCAGTTTTTCCTTCTTGGAAGCACTATTGTCCCCACCAGGAAAGTAGGCTTGCCATGCGTCCTGTATACATTCATTCATATAATAACCCTGTGCCCAGGACGCAGTTCGAATTCCACTTTCCTCGTAAACACCCATTCATAATGATAATCCAGATTTGGAAGTGTTTAGTATTTGCAAGCTTTAAAGTTTATTTCCTATGTTTTTTTCTCATCAGATGCATTTAATTTTATATAATTGCTTAATTGATCAAAGGAAACCATTTGAAATACATCTAGGTGGAGAGATACATAATAATTTTAAAAAATTAAAATCCATTACTTTGTATCATCTTTTCATGATTTGTGCTACTTGGCTCTATATTTAAACTCTTAATAGATTTTCTAGTTAATATTATACATTGAGTATTTTATTAGAATTATTCAATGCCATTTTCATTAATGAATCTGCCTTCCAGTTATTTCACGGGTTATATCAATAACCCTGCAACCCCAGACTCTATGCATTTCACCCTGAGATCTTTCCTTCCATCAGTAACACTCGTGACCCACAAACGTGTCCCTGTAGCTTAGAATTATACAAGAGAGAAAGACACAAAAGATCAATTTCGGGTAACAAAGATAACTTTTTAATTTTAGCCTTTGAGGTCCGAATTCAAAGCCAGTCAGAGACACCAGAGGCTCTACAAAAGTTTGCCAGAAAAGCAGCACTTTAGGAATACAAAAGCAGAGAAAGCGTTTTTCTAAGTGAAGACATGGCAGCTAATCCTGTGTGATGGCTTAATTGCACATGATGATCTCTTCCTCCCTCTGGTGTTAACAGATAACTAATATCGAATCCCTCTAGTTTTTCAAGGTCCAGTCTTGGTTGATTTTTAAATGTGCCTCTTTGCTTTTGTACCTATTGATATCCTATTTTTACCCACCACAAGAAGGCTGACAAATGGGTTTTTCCAAACTTTAATCCCAGCTTACATAAAAGAGAAATCTTGTTACAAGTATTGTCTTTATGATTAATGTATTTGTGCTGTGCACACGAGTTATGTTTTCAGAAATGCTCTGAATGAAATGTTAGCATTAAGGAAGTAAGTCAAGAGAACAGCACACAAGTTCTTTTCAAAAGTTCTTTGCTCCTATGAAGCTTCTATTGTACTTTCTTTCCAACCATCTTCGACCAATCTTTTGTTCTTATGTGAATTCACTGACTCGAGATATCCTTTTTAGTCATATTATTCATTTGTATTTCAGACAAATATCTAACCATAGATAATTCTAAAGTCATTTTCAACCATAAGTTATATGAAGGAACTGATATTCTTTTTGCAGCTGAATTTATTTGATAATAACTATACTTATGATTTAATAAGCCTTATCTGAAAAATCATATAACAGCCAATATTGCTAAAGATAAATTATAGAGATGTGAGTATATATAAGTATATATTTATATATAGGAAAAATATACACATGGAAAGAATGTGTGTGTGTGTGTGTATATATATATATATATATATATATATATATATATATAATCAGGAACTCAACCATTTCCAGGGGCATACAATACCCAGTTCAACACTAAGTTTGAATCCACAAATAATTATATTTTATTTTAAATGGTTTCATTCTCATGGTAAGAATCACAGGCAACCCATATATGTGATCTAAGAGATGTTGAGAAATTCACCAAGTTCTTGATTCTGAGTTAGATTTGATTGTGAGGTACACTAATGGACAATCCTTATATTTGCATATGTGGTACCCATTACACTTCTCTTGCAGAGATGAGATTCATTTGAGCACCTCTCTCATCTTGAACCAGTTATTCTTGAAATTCAGGAAGGAGAAACGAAATGAGGACCACCACAAAGCATTACAGACAGAGCTGTGGCACATCACGAAGTCCTATCTTTGCTGCGTCTCTCTCTCTCTCTCTCTCTCTCTCTCTCTCTCTCTCTCTCTCTCTCTCTCTCATATTCCTCCCTCTTTTTCATCTGTTTTATCACCAATAGTTGCTGCAAATTTTGTTACAGCAAAGTCTCACTCTTTTCAGTCCTAATTATAAATGTGTCCAGTTCACCAGTATAGGACATAGCATCTGTAAATTAAGCTCATTAGAGAACGGAGGGAAGCAGCTTTATTTAAATTAGTCATCAGAGAGCTGTAGTTTAGGTTGATATTTATGAGAACATAATTAGCCAGGAGTAGGCAGAGACTACAAATCTCTATCCCCACAGTAAACAAATGCCTTGTCTCATACCAGATAAGACTATAATAACCACTGTGTCGTGCTGTACCCTACTAGGCATTCTAGAGCACGAAAAAATTAAAAACTGAGACCATCTTCAGATCATTCAGACTCCAGGAAAGGAGCAAGAACATAAAGAGCTTATAATGAACAATACAGAGAATAATATGTAGCACATAACCAAAAACTAAAATTTCTATATGAAGTAGATAGATAGATAATGTTACAATAGAGTTCATAAAAGGTACAGATTGCTTTAAAACTTCATAGAAAGTGTCATAAAGTAGAAAATAGGCAGAAAGTCTACATATAGGGAAGAGAGAGAAAAGGAAGAAGAAGAGACAAAGGAGAAGAGAGAAGGCTGGGAAGGAAATAAAACAGGAAAAGAGGGAGGAGAAAGCAAAGGACAGTGGATCTGAGCTCTGGGGACATTGTCTCCTTCTCTGTCCATGATAGAGACCCCACTGATATTCTCTGAATCACTCTCATCAATTCTATTACGTTCTAAGGTACGTAGGTGTTAACCAGCTCCATCCTGGGTCTCACAAGAAGGAGAGATAAATAAAAGGCTGGAGAAAAGCTGGAGAGATTTATATTTGAAAGCACATTGCTTACTAGAGTAAAGGAAACTTCTTCAAGAAAACAAAGAGAAGGAAATAGAGAAATTCAGTGTGCAGTCTTTGAATTCTTGGTGAATTTGGAGTAGGAGAGAACTTTCAAAGCAATTTCATCTCCAGTAAAATATTAAGAGATGGAGAAATGAAAATAGTTTAAAGAAATTTTGTTGTAGTTCAT